CCAAATTAGTTATAAACAGAAGAATTGAGTGTCTGATAAGACTGTACATAGACTACAGATGTGCAAATTAGGAATTTCTCTTCACTGGTGGCATAGGGGAGGTAACTCCTTTACCCTCTGAGAATTATAGTCCGTTCAAAATTTAACAAAAAGCCATATTTTGACAACACCTGTGGATTATGATAGCTCCAAACAGAAATATTTGAAATACTTGCATAGATCAACAGTTACTGGGGCACTTAAATGGAAAAAAGATGCCAATGATAAAAAAAAAATAACTTTTAACGAAAATGATTTTTTTTTTGTGAGAAAGGGTTGTTACCCCTACCTAAAATGCTTTTCTTTTGTTTGGTCATTTTGCACAATTAAAATGATTGTTCTCAAAAAAATGAGTGAGCAAATGATATGCTATTTTGCACACAAGTTATTAGTTAAGATAAAATAGTACATAAATCGGTGTCAGGGTCCATTTTAACCTAGCAGCAGTACACATTCGTGTCAAGGTCTATTTTAAGCTAGCAATAGTACAAATTTGTGTCTGTGTCCATTTTAAGCTAGCAATAGTACAAATTTGTGTCTGTGTCCATTTTAAGCTAGTTATAGTACAAATTTGTGTCGGGGTCCATTTTAAGCTAGCAAAAGTACAAATTTGTGTCGGGGTCCATTTTAAGCTAGTAATAGTACAAATTTGTGTCAGGTCCATTTTAAGCTAGCAATTGTACAAATTTGTGTCGGGATCCATTTTAAGCTAGCAATAGTACAAATTTGTGTCGGGGTCCATTTTAAGCTAGCAATAGTACAAATTTGTGTCGGGGTCCATTTTAAGCTAGTAATAGTACAAATTTGTGTCGGGCCCATTTTAAGCTAGCAATAGTACAAATTTGTGTCTGTGTCCATTTTAAGCTAGCAATAGTACAAATTTGTGTCGGGGTCCATTTTAAGCTAGCAATAGTACAAATTTGTGTCGGGGTCCATTTTAAGCTAGCAATAGTACAAATTTGTGTCGGGGTCCATTTTAAGCTAGTAATAGTACAAATTTGTGTCGGGGGTCCATTTTAAGCTAGCAATAGTACAAATTTGTGTCTGTGTCCATTTTAAGCTAGCAATAGTACAAATTTGTGTCTGTGTCCATTTTAAGCTAGCAATAGTACAAATTTGTGTCAAGGTCCATTTTAAGCTAGCAATAGTACAAATTTGTGTCTGTGTCCATTTTAACCTAGCATTAGTACAAATTTGTGTCGGGGTCCATTTTAAGCTAGTAATAGTACAAATTTGTGTCGGGGGTCCATTTTAAGCTAGCAATAGTACAAATTTGTGTCGGGGTCCATTTTAAGCTAGTAATAGTACAAATTTGTGTCGGGTCTATTTTAAGCTAGCAATAGTACAAATTTGTGTCGGGGTCCATTTTAAGCTAGCAATAGTACAAATTTGTGTCGGGGTCCATTTTAAGCTAGCAATAGTACAAATTTGTGTCAGGGTCCATTTTAAGCTAGCAATAGTACAAATTTGTGTCGGGGTCCATTTTAAGCTAGCAATAGTACAAATTTGTGTCGGGGTCCATTTTAAAGCTAGTAATAGTACAAATTTGTGTCGGGGGTCCATTTTAAGCTAGCAATAGTACAAATTTGTGTCTGTGTCCATTTTAAGCTAGCAATAGTACAAATTTGTGTCGGGGTCCATTTTAAGCTAGTAATAGTACAAATTTGTGTCAGGGTCCATTTTAAGCTAGCAATAGTACAAATTTGTGTCTGTGTCCATTTTAAGCTAGCAATAGTACAAATTTGTGTCGGGGTCCATTTTAAGCTAGTAATAGTACAAATTTGTGTCGGGTCCATTTTAAGCTAGCAATAGTACAAATTTGTGTTGGGGTCCATTTTAACCTAGCAATAGTACAAATTTGTGTCAGGGTCCATTTTAACCTAGCAATAGTACAAATTTGTGTCAAGGTCCATTTTAAGCTAGCAATAGTACAAATTTGTGTCGGGGTCCATTTTAAGCTAGCAATAGTACAAATTTGTGTCGGGGGTCCATTTTAAGCTAGCAATAGTACAAATTTGTGTCGGGGTCCATTTTAAGCTAGCAATAGTACAAATTTGTGTCGGGGTCCATTTTAAGCTAGTAATAGTACAAATTTGTGTGAGGGTCCATTTTTAGCTAGCAATAGTACAAATTTGTGTCTGTGTCCATTTTAAGCTAGCAATAGTACAAATTTGTGTCTGTGTCCATTTTAAGCTAGCAATAGTACAAATTTGTGTCGGGGTCCATTTTAAGCTAGTAATAGTACAAATTTGTGTCGGGTCCATTTTAAGCTAGTAATAGTACAAATTTGTGTCGGGTCCATTTTAGCTAGCAATAGTACAATTTGTGTCTGTGTCCATTTTAAGCTAGCAATAGTACAAGTTTGTGTCGGGTCCATTTTAAGCTAGTAATAGTACAAATTTGTGTCGGGTCCATTTTAAGCTAGCAATAGTACAAATTTGTGTCTGTGTCCATTTTAAGCTAGCAATAGTACAAATTTGTGTCGGGGTCCATTTTAAGCTAGCAATAGTACAAATTTGTGTCGGGGTCCATTTTAAGCTAGCAATTGTACAAATTTGTGTTGGGGTCCATTTTAAGCTAGTAATAGTACAAATTTGTGTCGGGGTCCATTTTAAGCTAGCAATAGTACAAATTTGTGTCTGTGTCCATTTTAAGCTAGTTATAGTACAAATTTGTGTCGGGTCCATTTTAAGCTAGCAATAGTACAAATTTGTGTCTGTGTCCATTTTAAGCTAGCAATAGTACAAATTTGTGTCGGGGTCCATTTTAACCTAGCAATAGTACAAATTTGTGTTGGGGTCCATTTTAACCTAGCAATAGTACAAATTTGTGTCAGGGTCCATTTTAACCTAGCAATAGTACATATTTGTGTCAAGGTCCATTTTAACCTAGCAATAGTATTGAGATAATTTTGCACATTGAAAGAAACAACATTTGGATTTTACAATAATATGATGAGCATCATTTTCAAACATGCTGAATTTCATTACATTGAGATCAACTATTATTCAATATGGCTTCGATAAATGCTTAATTTTAATCAACAAAGGGTCATAACACAATAATCATTTAATTTGGATACAGAACAAGAGCTGTCACAGGGGACAGCGAAGCTCAACTAATAAAGTACTGGAGGCAGTAAGGAAGACAAAACTATGAAAGAAAAATCAATTATGTATAATTATGTTTTAAGTTATAGTAGATCTAAAAAATAACATTGTTAACATAAATTCCAAGGGGAATAATTCTAGAAATAGTCTCGCTAGAGTTATGAACCTTGTCACACAACATGTGTGTAATGATAAGAAATATACATTTGAAGTTTGAAGTAGATACCTTAAAAAGTAAAGAAGTTATAATATTTCTTAAAGAAAATCCCAAGTTCAAAGAGAGATAAATCTGTAATAATTTGCTTCGAGTTATGAACATTGTCACATACGAGGTTTATTCAAAAAGTTTTGTTACCAATGGTCTTCCGTGGCGAAATCGACGGTTTTGCTTCAATAAACCTATACATTAATGTACATAAATATTCACACTATATAAGCACGAAAAACACGTGCAAATCGATGCAATAATGACAAAATTATTCAGTTTTGAAGTAGTGTCACTCATATATACTGGCCATATTTTGGAAATAACAATGAAACGACATTACAACGTTGAAATACGCACTTATATTAAAAGTCGCACTGCTTTGCATATATCTCCAAAAGACATTTATAATGAGCTGAATGGTATTAATGGACATTCTGTGGTATCATTTATGACAGTTTGTAGGTGGGCGAAAAAATTTAAAGGTGGGCTTTCTGTGATTAAAGATGGCCATCGAAGTGGACGCCCGAAGTCGTCAGTGACTGATAAGCATGTGGCTGCTGTGAAAGCATTGGTGGAAGAAGATGGCCGTTATACAGTAAAGGATATGGCTAATAGTGTTGGCATTTCAGAAGGAAGTGTTCATGAAATTCTGTCAAAAAAGCTTGGACTTAAAAAGGTTTGTGCACGTTGGGTGCCCCATTTACTGACCAATGACCAGAAAAAAATGAGAGTCATGTGTTCAAAAAAACTCCTTAAAGAGTTCAAAACATTTGACAGCAGGACTATTTCTAATATGTTAACTGGAGATGAGACTTGGGTCTACATGTTTGAGCCACAAAGGAGGGGTGATAATAAACAATGGAGAGGAAAAAATCAAAAACGTCCAGTAGTGCCTTAACGGCAGAAAAGCTCAAAAAAAGTTCTGTACACCATGTTTTTCAATCATCTTGGTCCAGTTATTCAGATACCATCACAATCTGGAAAATCAATCACAGGAACATATTATAAGAACGTTGTGCTAAAAAGGATGAAAAAGTTTTATAAAAACAAACGTCCAAAAGTTTTATAAAAACAAACGTCCAAGTACTGGATTAAGGGGAGTTAATTTACTACATGATAATGCCCCCGCGCATAAAAGCAAGGGGGTTGTTAACTTTCTCGCTGAAGAAAAGGTAAATGTGTTAAGCCATCCCCCTTATTCGCCGGATTTAAGTCCATGTGACTTTTTTTTATTTCCCCGGCTAAAAAAGATGTTGTCTGGACGTCGGTATACCACCAGAAGCGGACTTGGAAGTGCTGTATATCAGTGTTTGAGACTGATACCAAGGGCAGACTATTCTGATGCATTTAGACAGTGGAAATTTCGATTACAAAAGTGTATTTCTGTAGGTGGTGAATATTTTGAAGGGATGAAATAAACCATTTTCGTATATATTTTCTTAATCTTGTTTTTAATACCCGATAACAGAACTTTTTGAAGAACCCTCGTAAAATGTAATTGATGATAAGGAATAAGTGTAGATACCTTTATAACTAAAAAAGTCATAGTAAAAAATAACATTTTTCTGAATTTCATTACATTGAGATCAACTATTATTCAATATGGCTTCGATAAATGCTTAATTTTAATCAACAAAGGGTCATAACACAATAATCATTTAATTTGGATACAAAACAAGAGCTGTCACAGGAGACAGCGAAGCTCAACTTATAAAATACTGGAGGCAGTAAGGAAGACAAAACTATGAAAGAAAAATCAATTATGTATAATTATGTTTTAAGTTATAGTAGATCTAAAAAATAACATTGTTAACATAAATTCCAAGGGGAATAATTCTAGAAATAGTCTCGCTAGAGTTATGAACCTTGTCACACAACATGTGTGTAATGATAAGAAATATACATTTGAAGTTTGAAGTAGATACCTTAAAAAGTAAAGAAGTTATATTTCTTAAAGAAAATCCCAAGTTCAAAGAGAGATAAATCTGTAATAATTTGCTTCGAGTTATGAACATTGTCACATAAAATGTAATTGATGATAAGGAATAAGTGTAGATACCTTTATAACTAAAAAAGTCATAGTAAAAAATAACATTTTTCTAGTGAAAAATCTAAGTTTATGGGGAGATAATTCTTGCAATATTGGTGCTAGAGTTATGAACCTTGTCACATAAGATGTGGTTGATGATAAGGAACATATATTTGAAGTATGAAGATGATCCCTGATAAAATAAAGAGTAACAGTAAAAAATAGTATTTTTTCAGGAAAATTCTAAGTTCAAGGGGAGATAAACCTAAAAATATTGGTGTTAGAGTTATGAACCTTGTCACATAAGATGTGGTTGATGATAAGGAACATATATTTGAAGTTGATACCTTAAGAAATGACAAAGTTACAGTGAAAAATATTTTACTGCACCAAAACTTTAATCTGAAATCTAGATGCGGACGCCGACGCCGGGGCGAGTACGACAGCTCTCCATATACTTCATATAGTCGA